ACACTGGAGCAGTTGGTTCCTGAAGGACTGCACACCATGAAGGAGACCCATGTTGGAGCAGTTCATGAAGAACTGTAGCCCGTGGGAAGGACTCACGCTGGAGAAGTCATGGAGGACTGTCTCCTGTGTGAGAGTGTGAGGAGTCCTCCCCCTGAGAAGGAAGGAGCGGCAGAAATGACATGTGATGAGCTGACCACAACCCCGATCCTCTGTCCACCTGCGCCGCTTGGGGAGAGGAGGTAGAGAAATCAGAAATAAAGTTAAGCCTGGGAAAGAAGGGAGGGGAGGGGGAAGGGGTTTTAAGATTTGGGTTTATTTCTCATTACTCCTCTCTGAGTTGATTGGTAATAAATTACATTTTTCCCCAAGTTTTGCCCATGACGGTAAATGCTGAGTGATCTCCCTGTCCTTATCCTGACCCACAAGACTGTTGTTATATTTTTCTCTCCCCTGTCCCCTGAGTGGGGGAATGTTAGAGCGGCTTTCCTGGGCACCTGGCATCCAGCCAGGATCAACCTGCCACAGCTGTAAAGTGTGGTCTAGAGGCAAATCTACATTTGACCCTCCGTACATCCAGGAGCGCTGGGGACAAGGGCAACAGTGGAAAGTACTCATCTGAGTCAAACCAGGCTTTGAATTTTTCTCTGGTATGGTAGCATTAGTAACTCATTCTCCCTCGATACGGGATTTTAACGCTGAAAAGGCTCAAGGACACAATGTAAGAAGCTTTTACAATTGCTGTTGACGAATCTGATGACTTCTGCAACTGTCAGGCGTACTTAGGCTGTCACTCAAGCCTGTCACAGTCCTTTGTGATCTGCTGTAGGATAAGGCTGCCTGTCCTGTTTAATTTTGCTCAAGAGAAATTATGCACTATGTCTTTCGTGAAAAATCCATGAATATTCATCACTCAGTGAATAACCAGCCCATAAAAAAAGCCAGCTGATTCAGCCAGGGTAGGACTGTTTTGCAACCTTTGTTATTATTATACTATTATTACCATGTAAGCCAGAGATGAAAAGGACCTATTAGACCATTCAGTGCAACTTCCTGCAAATTCAGGACTCTTATGTATTAGAGCTTTATCATTAGACACTATAGAGAGAAAGAACCTTTCAGAAAATAACAGTATGCAAAAAGCACTTGTCACTTAATATATTTTAATGTCAAAAAGCCAAGAATTTATCTCAGCTATTCAAATCCACATGTCAAGTTAACATCCATTTAAACTAAAATTAGGTATGCTTTCTCTTGCAAAGAACTTGAAGCACGTGAAATGCTCTTAGGAGAGCTCCTAGTCACTTCTTTCACAGGAGAGCAGAACAGTGTTTCTCTGGTGAGAGTGCTGTCAGTATAACACAACAGTTGTGAAATTTAAGAAGAGATTCAGCCAGAAGTGCCACAGATGAGCCCTTCAGACAGTGAACGTCAGTGCCGAGCTGCACTGGTGCCAGTGGGTCCTTCTGAAGAGCGATGCCACCGCAACAAGCTCTGTCCTGTGCTCCAGGTGTCTCAGTGCCATGTGAACAGAGGGCAAACCTGGGACTGACTCAGTGGCACAGAGTCAGGCAGAACAGGCACTGGTGTAACTTGTGGTGGGTTGGCCCTGGCTGGACACCAGGTGCCCACCGAAGCCACTCTGTCATTCCCCTCCTCAGCTGGACACAGGAGAGAAATACGACAAAAGGCTCGTGGGTTGAGATAAGGACAGGGAGAGACCATTCACTAATTACCACCACAGGTAAAACAGACTTGACTTGTGGAAATTAGTTTAATTTACTACCAATCAAATCAGAATAGGATAATGAGAATTAAAAGCACCTTCCCCCCACCCCTCCCTTCTTCCTAGGCTCAACTTCACTCCTGATTTCTCTACCTCCTCTCCCCAAGCGGTGCAGGGGGACAGAGTTTGGGCGTTGTGGTCAGTTCACCACATGGTGATTCTGCCACTCCTTCCTCCTCAGGGGGAGGACTCCTCACACTCTTCCACTGCTCCAGTGTGCCTCTCACAGCAGACAGTCCTTCATGACTTCTCCAGTGTGAGTCCTTCCCACGGGCTACAGTTCTTCATGAACTGCTCCAGCGTGGGTCTCCTTCATGGGGTGCAGTCCTTCAGGAACAGACTGCTCCAGTGTGGGTCCCCCATGGGTCCACAGGTCCTGGCAGGAGCCTGCTCCAGTGTGGGCTTCCCACAGGGTCGCAGCCTCCTTCAGGCATCCACCTGCTTTGGCTGCAGGTGGATATTTGCTCCACTGTGGCCCTCCATGGGCTGCAAGCAGGACAGCCTGCCTCACCATGGTCTTCACCACGGGCTTCAGGGGAATCTGCTCCGGCCCGTGGGCTGCAAGCAGGACAGCCTGCCTCACCATGGTCTTCACCATGGGCTTCAGGGGAATCTGCTCCGGCGCCTGGAGCACCTCCTCCCCCTCCTTCTTCACTGACCTTGGTGTCTGCAAAAATGTTGCTCTCATACGTTCTCATTCCTCTCTCTGGCTGCAATTGTTCCTGCGCAATTGTTCCTTTTCCCCTTCTTAAATCCATTATCCCAGAGGCGCTGCCACTGTCACTGATGGCCTTGGCCTTGGCCAGTGGCGGGTCCAAATCTCAGCTGGCTGGTGTTGGCTCCATTGGACTAGGGGAAACTTCTAGCAGCTTCTCACAGAAGCCACCCCCGTAGCCACTCCTGCTAAAAAATCCTTGCCATGCAAACCCAATACAAACTTTAGACCATAATGAAACTGTGGTTGCTGTTCAAATAAAGAGGCATGAAAGATAAAAGCAGAACAATTAGTGTTATTTCAGAGTAAACACAGGGATAAAACCCAAATACAGGGAAATGTGGTGAACCTAAACGAGCATTATACGTTGGCAGTGCAATTAATTTGAAGTCAATAGGCTGCAAGCACTCAGGAAAGTTTTGAAGGCTTAGCAAGTCCTGCACAGAGTGGTCTGACAACAGGACGCAGAAATTTGATAGACTGGCCGGGCTGTATGCCTGGAGCTCACCTGCTTTCTGGTGCAAGCGATGCACTTGCTCTCCTTTCCTGGACAAAAATATGGAAGTACTATGGAAAATATTACAGAAAATATATGTCATGACAGAAGGGTCCCACTTTATCCACAATGAAAAGCAGCCTTTGTCTCAGACATAAGCCAGTGAAGATGCTGATAAATCTGATATTCATATTTCTAGGTGATACTCGAGAGTCTTCTCTTTCGAAGTTTCTGCTCAAGTGATTCACAGCAGGCTATTTTCTGCTCAAGGCCACAACAAAGGTAGAAATTATGGACTCCAGCTTTGTACCTTTGAAAACACAGAGCATCCCAAAGCCCAAAGTGTCTTACAGAGGGATGACGACAACTCCCGCACAGAGCAAGAGGTTGAGTCAT